CAACACTCGTCAATTCACTGAGAACACTCGCCCATTTAGTTGGGCTTCCAACCAGAACACTGTCTATGGTACCTGTAACAGATGTGGCATTGGTCACCTACCATCCCAATGTCCCAACCGTGATCCATCCACTATACGTAACCGACCCACAACCAACTTTGCTAGTGACAACACCACATCTACTTCTGCCTCATGGTATCTTGACATAGGTGCTAACAGCCACGTTACACCCGACCTAGCAAGCATGGACGACAACCGACAGTATCAAGGTCATGACAATCTGCATGTTGATGATGGTAAGGGCCTTCCTATTTTTTATATTGGATCATCTCGTATTCATTCACCTAATAAAACGTTTCATCTTTCTAAAATTCTTCATGTACCAAACATCACAAAACATCTTATTTCTGTACAACAATTTTATCTTGATAATCATGTTTTCCTTGAATTTCACTCCAATTTTTTTGTTTATAGTTTCTAGTTCTAAACATCCTGTTTCAAATAATACATTACCTAGCTTTTGTTCTTCCTGTCAATTAGGCAAATCTTGCAAAATTCCTTTACCCATTTCCTCTTTTCGAAGTAATAAAATTCTGGATTTGGTTTATTGTGATGTTTGGGTCCCCGCTCCTGTTCTTTCATCTGATGGACATCGTTACTTTCTATTATGTGTTGATCATCATACTAGATTTATGTGGATATTTCCTATGTCTGACACGTCTGAGGTATACAATCTCTTTAAAACCTTTGTTGCAACAGTTGAACGTCAATTTTCAACTAAATTAAAGAAAGTGCAAACTGATTGGGGTGGTGAGTTTCGCAACACCTCAACATTCCTTACCAGCCTTGGAATTGTTCACATGCGGTCATGCCCACACACCAGTCCTCAACGGTTTCGTTGAACGACGCCACAGACATGTCGTTGGAAACCGGCCTAGCCTTAATGGCTCATTCTAGCACTCCTCAAAGGTTTTGGCATTTTGCTTTTGAAACGACTGTTTACCTCATCAATGCCCTCTCGCACCTCTACAAACATATCACCATTTGAACTCGTCTTTCAAAGACCTCCCGACGACTCATTTCTAAAGGTCTTTGGTTGCTTATGCTTTCCATATCTTCGCCCTTATAACAGTCATAAAATGGATTTCTGGTCCACTCCTTGTATTTTTCTTGGATACAGCCCATTCCATCATGGTTACTGATGTCTTGATCTCTCCACCGATCGGATATATATGCCCGACACGTTCGTTTTGACGAATCCTCCTTTCCTCTTGGTACATCTCCTGCAACCGACACCCCTTCCACACCCAATACCTCACCACCATCTGTCTCCACGCCGCAACCGACACCGACTCCAACCCCAGCCCCACCTAACCCACCTCGCACTAGACCAGCAAATCTCCGCCAAAACCCAAAATAACGAGTTCCTTATCAGCGTAGTGCCCATCATATTACCACTGAACCCACATCTTTTTCGGTTGCCAACAAATCATCTGAGTGGCGCAAAGCCATGGAAGAAGAATACAATGCCTTACAAAAAAATGGCACATGGTCCCTGGTACCGAATACTAACATTATTGATTGTAAGTGGGTTTACAGGTTAAAACATGATAAAGATGGCGCCATTAATCGCTACAAAGCACGGTTCGTTGCAAAAGGATTTCGTCAGCAACCAGGGATAGATTACCATGAGACGTTCAACCCTGTAGTCAAGTCAACCACCATCCGAGTTGTACTCTCTCTTGCTATCACATAAAACTGGCCTCTTCGACAACTAGATGTTCAAAATGCCTTCTTACATGGCAATCTAGAAGAAACAATATATATATATATATATATATATATATATATATATATATATATATATATATATATATATATATATATATATATATGAAACAACCTCCTGGATTCGTTGATGCATAACATCCGAACCACGTGTGCCTACTCCACAAATCCATCTATGGCCTCAAGCAAGCTCCTAGGGTCTGGTTTCAACGTCTTACACACATCATCCATCTTCTCGGCTTCAAAGGGTCCAAGACCGATCCTTCCCTGTTCATCTATTCTCATGCCGGTACAACTTTATACATGTTGATTTACGTTGATGATCTCATTCTCACGGGCAACAAAACTGCTCTTATTAATAAAGTCATTCAACAACTTGCGGCCACGTTTGCTATCAAAGATCTTGACTCTCTATCATATTTTCTATGCATTGAAATTGTTCCAAGAGGGTCTGACATCATCCTCTCTCAAGTCTCAACGAAAATACATTTTGGAACTTCTCCAAAAGGTTGGTTTGTCAGATTCTAAGCCGACTCCAACTCCGATGAACACCTCTAGCCCTGTGACAGTCAATGACAGCCCTCTCTTTTCCGATCCGGTATGGTATCGCCAAGTTGTTGGAGCCCTTCAGTATGTGACCTTTATCCAGGCCAGCCATTACCTTTGCCGTCAACAAGGTATGTCCGTTCATGCATGCTCCAACTGACAACCATTGGTCTGTTGTCAAGCGAATTCTTCGCTACCTTCATGGCACTGTTGATCATGGCATGCTTATTCGCCAAACCTCAAGCACTCAACTACAAGCATTTACCGACTCTGTTTGGCAGGGATCAGATACCTTAACTGCCTTTTCGGATGCTGACCGGCCGGTTGCCCAGATGACCGTCGGCCCACGGGGGGATTTGCAATATATCTTGGTTCCAATTTAATATCTTGGACCGCACGGAAACAACGAACCGTATCTAGATCTTCAACCGAGTCCGAGTACAAGGCGCTTGCTGACACGGTTGCTGAGCTCACCTGGCTTCAATCTCTTCTTCGAGAACTTGGTGTTAACAACTCTACACCCCCGGTCTTATGGTGTGATAGTCTTGCGGCAACTTATCTCTCGGCTAATCTAGTGTTTCATGTGCGCACAAAGCATGTGGAAGTTGACTTCCACTTTGTCAGAGAAAAGGTTGCAAATAAAGATCTCCAAGCCCGCTCATCTCTACACATGATCAAATAGCCGACGTCTTCATAAAGCATTGCCAACTCCAAGATTCATACAACTAAGATCCAAGCTACAGGTCGTTCCCTGTCCTTAGCTTGTGGGGGCATATTAGACACAATTAAATATATTATAGAATAGAGGGTATCAATGTGTAATATCTAAACCTATATATGTTGATTGTATGTAACCTAATACGTAACAATAAAATTAGTCGGCACTTTATGATCCGAATCCACTGGATTTGAGGTTACGATTTCTTTGTTTAATTTGTTGGGCCAGATCCAAGGGAGTCCACATGTGTAATTCATCTCTGATTTCAGGCTTGAGGCCCTTACGCCTTGTTCCCCAGTTTTTTTTGTAAATTCATCAAAAGAAAGGGAAGGAAAATTTTGACCGAAAGAAAGGGAGGGGAAGGAAAATATTCATTATACGGTGTTCCCGAGTTCGAAGGAAATGAAAAGAAATGAGAAGAAAATTTTATGTTTTCATGTTCCCGAGTTAGGAGGAAAAAGAATATAAAACTTAAAATTTTCCTTCCCCTCACTTTCTTCCCAAATCCGCCCAATTTGGGAGGAAAATTTGGAAGGAAAATATGACTCCAAAATCCTTCCCCTCCCATCACTTTCCTTCCATTAATGAAACTCGGGAACACGATTTTCCTTCGATACGCCTCACTTTTCCTCCGTATCCTCCCATTTCCCTCCTTAAGTAGAACTCGGGAACAAGGCGTTAAGGAAACTTGCGAGCGCTACTGTGTCTGTAACTTCTTCGATGGGAGCCGCTAGCTCGATGAACCGTCATATGTACTTGGCTGTAGTGGTTGTTTGCGCCAAGGAATCCCTTTGTTCATAGATGTCGCCTCCTAACACGGAACGAAATTTCTTGAGAAATAAGGTTTTCATACACTCCCATGTCGTCACCGCTTGTTGATTGTTAGACCATCTGTACCACGTGAGGGCATCTCCGTTGAGACTAAGAATCTGCCTCCACCTTTTCTTCATCAATCAATTGATATATGGCAAAGTAATGTTCCGCTTGCAGTATCCATCCATCAGGGTCGGTTCCATCACAGCTTGGCATGCCGATTTTGCAGTGATGGTATTCATATCTTCCCTTTCCTGCGTTGTTTACGTCGAAACTGCCAAAGATCAGTCCCGGGCCGCCGTGACCGGAGCCACCGTTACCGGAACCCCCATTACCGGAGCCACATGTCCCGATCCTTCAATGCCTTTGTTCTTGTTCGTTGTGTCTCCCATTTAGGGGTGATGAGACCCGAGTTTGGGGTGTTTGAACTTCCTCCTCTTCCCCCTGTGTTAGCCTCAGTTCGTTCTAGCAGCTTGTTCATGTTGGTTCTCATTTCATCCTGCCCTTGGATAATAGTTTCCATTCTCAGCTTCATGTCTTGAATATTCATGCCATGAGAGTGAAGCTGGACTTGTATCACCCCAACTTGCTCTTCCACCTTCTTGACAGCAGCAGCTTCTTTTGATGCTCCTCCCATGGAAAGTATTGCTCTGATACCAGTTGATATGCCCTGAGATCTCCAACTTGCTTAAGATTTCTAAAAGTAAGACAATACTATAGAAATTGCACAAGAAATAACGAAAGTAAACTTTAATTGATAAAACTCCATGGATGGGCTCTCCAAATGCATAAAGCACTACTCAGTTTTTACTTTTTACACACCCAAAACAGACACAGACAAGAACCTTAAATAGCAAAAGAAAAGGACAAAAATAACAAAAAGACCTGCAGCTCATTCCATTTCAACATGACACTCCCATTACCAATGTTCCCTACAAAAAAGGAGCTGCCACATCAGAATTACGCAATTACCCCTGGATGTCTTGAATTGGTTGTTTGTTGGTATTCAACTCATTCCGCCCTTGGCCTTGGACCCTTTTGCCCTTCCGAAATGGTTGGGGTATATCATCTATTCATAGATGACAATAAACCTTTATACATGAGAATGAGATTTATTTTTATTTTTTCTTTTCAGGGCTCAAACTTAGATAGCAATGCCAAAATGTGGCGTCTGGTTGCAGATCTCATGAATGATCTTGGTACTGGTCCATTTATTTTCCTTACATTCAATGATTCAAATAATACTTGTCGATATTCATTACTTTAAAAAATTAAATTGTAATATTATTTATAATTATAATTTTACCAACATTACAGGAATGCTGATGGACCTTGTTTCTCCATTGTTCCCTTCGGCATTTATATTCATTGTCTGCATAGGAAGCTTGTCAAGATCTTTCAGTAAGTTAATTACTTCACTTTGTGTAATTTACTACCCTTGTGATCAATATGACCAAAATACCCTTCAGCTGGTGTTGCCAGTGGAGCAACTAGAGCTGCTTTGACCCAACATTTTGCTCTTCAGAACAATGCAGCAGATATATCTGCAAAGGTAGTTTTCTTGATTTTATATAAATATATAATAAGAACAAAACAACAATAATAATAAAAATAATAAATTAAAATATTTCTACTTTGAGTGATATGATAGGAAGGAAGCCAAGAGACAGTGGCAACAATGATTGGAATGGCTTTAGGGATGCTTCTTGCACACATTACAATGGGACACTCAACTATCATTTGGCTCTCTTTTTTGTCCCTCACAATCTTCCACATGTATGGTTAGTTATGCTTCTACTTCTTTTATTTCAAAAAACTAATTTAAAAAATATATATATATATATATATATTTTACTGAAACTAATTTATTACATGTTTTGTAGCTAATTACAAAGCTGTTAGGTGCCTTAATCTCACTACATTAAACTGTGAAAGAAGCTCAATTCTTTTGTTGCATTTCATGGAGTCTGGTGGAGGTGATTGTGATTTCCATTTCTCTCTATTACATTTACAACATTATATTATAGTTTATTAATAAATTAATAAATTAAAGTACTTTGCTATTTCTTGCATTTTTTTTTTTAAAGTTTTGTCTTCAAAAGAGGTCTCTGCGTTAGAGCATGTGTTGCCTTTATGGATGAGTAGTTGGAGTTCAAAAAATACAAAATCTCTGTATACACGTGTACGCCTAGGTGTCAGGGTTTCCTCACTCAACACTTTGGAAATGTAAGTTATTAAATATTATTTAATTTAATATTATAACTGAGAACTGACCTTATAGTCTTTAATTTGTTAATAAATAAACAGGAAGGAGCTATTAGGTTATGCTGGATCTGAGTATGAAAAAGGTTGGTTGAGGTTTAAACCTTTAATTATATTTTGTTATAATTAATATATGGATATATCAATATTAATTAATTAATTTTTGGAGTTTTAGGAAAATACTTGTTACTTGAGAATAAAGGAATTGTGAGCATTGTTGTGCATAAAGATTCAAGTAGTGGAGATGTGATGAAGGGATTCATGCATGCTCTTGTTATGGCGAATCTGTTAGATGATAAGAAAAGCCAAATGTGGATGAACAAACACTATCAAGACTTTATTTTCAAGGTATGTTTTACTTTGTGTAAAAATAATTCAATTAATAAACTAGTGTTTTTAAATTTTTACATTAAAAAATAGATGCATAACTTAACTGTTAATCTCTATTTTTTTTTACTTAATTTGCAGATTCAATCGTGTGGTTGGAAAACAGAGCGACTTTTGTCATCATCAATCGTATGGAGAGCAAACTGGACACATAAAAAGATAAACTAGAAGATATGTAACACCTGTTCACACAAAATCAATCAATTAACAAAAATCGAATTCGTTTTTTAATGATTAAATGGGCATTGTTATTTGTGATTTGAGGATAGTTATATGAGAATTTGGGTTTGTCTATTGTGGTATATGAAAAAGGTGACAAAAAAAAGTTTTAGGGATGAAATGTGTTATGAAAAAATTACAGGGACCATATCCGTAAATTAACAAAGCATTGTAAGAACCATAAACAAAGCCACGAAGGTTGACCCAAGGTTCATAAAAGTTTTACAAAAATCATGAGGTATCAAGAGATTAAAAAGATGATGAAAGTTTGTAGAACATTTTTTTCTAATTTTCTACAACAATGTCCATTTATTTATTTATCTCCTTGTATGGTAGGTAGACTAGTATAAATGGGTAGTTCCATCTTATTTATAATTCATCCATTAACTTATGATACTTTTTCTTTTTTGAACGGGCAAATGATTATATTAGAAACAAAAAGCCGCCACCAAGCAAGAAGCTAGGTGGGACGAAAAAATGGAAAAGGAGTTGCAAAGTCTGAGAAAATAGTTGCAAAATTACAAGCAAAAAATGGATTAACACACCACTCAACCCATTTAAACAACATTTTGACCTACTGTGTTTCACTCATGTGTACATGTGGATTTGATGTTGTCAGCCACTTTGGTTGTTGAAATCTGAGATTTTTTAAAAACCCAGCAACACCTTGCTTTCCAAATCATCCAAATCGTTCCATAGCATATGTTTAGCAAAATCTTTCTCCTGTTCTGATTGTTTCCCCACGATTATATAAATGAGAGCAACTTACCAACATTATGGATTACCGATACCGATATTTCACACCACTGAAAGATCCAATACCAAACCGTTTTTGCAAAGGAGCACCTCCATACAACGTGTGTGGTATCCTCTACTTCCGTCGTACAATGGCCACATATCGGTGTCTCAACTGTTACCCCTCGTTTAATCAACGCGTTTGCTGTTGGAAGACGTCCCAAATTTGCCCTCCAAACAAAGGATAACACTTTGATTGGTACATCATGGGTCCATCTAATTATCTTTTCACTTGGGTCTATGTGTTCAGTTGAGTTAATACTGTACCTGAGATTCCTTACTTGATACCCACCCTCATCCGTGTTGACGCATCGCCACTCGTCAGATCCCGTGGTTGGATGAAAGGTCCCTATCCTGGAAATTAGTATGTTCACCTGATTTAACTGTGCAGCAGTAATAACATTGGTCTTGCAGTCCCATTTAATACCATCATTCAAAATTCTATCCTTAGTTAAACAATGTTTACGTTTTTCAAGATGATATAAATCGGGGAATGCATTTTTGAGTGTTCCGTTCCCACACCAATTGTCAATCCAAAATTTAGTAGTATCTCCGGATCTAATTACTTTTATCATCACTTCCTCCGTATTGATTCCTACTTTACCTAACTCATCTTTTGACCCTGCTATATTTTTCCAAATCCCTGCAATTGATTTTGTGGAAAGAATATCATCTGGTTTATTCTTTAAATTGTGTGTTCCCCTTATTACCCGACTCCACAACTCCTCTCCCTTAGCCCTCAATCTCCACCACCATTTTCCAATAACTGAGATTGAAACCCTAGTGATCCCAGTCCCAGTCACCCCATTTCTTTTGGTGCGACCACTTTTTCGTGGGCAACCGATGGTATTTTATTTTTTCCATCCATCCCTCCTCCCCACAAGAACTTTCTCCTGATTTTTTTTTCCAAAGTGTTGATAACCCCAATAGGCGCAACAAATATGAAGAAAAAGTAGGAAGGGAGGCTGCCCAAGACAGCCTTTGCCAATGTCAACCTTCCTCCTAGTGATAATTTTTTTGCTTTCCATGAAGACATTTTGGATTGATGTTTCTCAACAACGGGCCTCCAATATTTTTTTCAGGTTCATATTGGCCCCTATTGGTACCCCTAGGTAGGTGAAAGGAAGCGTTGATGCTTCACATTCGAGTGGGGCTGCCCATCTGTTGACTTCCTGTGGATCGACTCCAATACCAAACACACGTGATTTCTTGAAATTTACCTTAAGGCATGACGTGACATGAAAACACCTGAGTATGCGTGCCAGATTTTTGATATTGGTTTTACACCACTCTCCCACAAATAACGCATCATCTGTGTAGAACAAGTGGGAGATGGTCAACTCTTCTCTTGGCACATTGAATCCCTTAAACATACCATTCTCGCAAGCTTCCTTCATTGCTATGTTTAATCCCTCCTTTTGTAACTGCCATTCAAAAAAGATTTTCTTTTTTTTTTAAACTTTCGCAACTTTTGTTCCTCCAAAAAAGGTGGAATAATGTATAATGATTTGCTCCCAATCTTGAGTTTATGTGAAAGACATGAATATCTTTTTTTTTCTTTCCATCCTCACACTGAAAATTGTCACACCCCAAACCGGAACGACGGAAACATCCACGGCTGGATGACTTCATACTAAGTATCACAACAAATGTAAAATAGTAAAACAAGCAACAACATGCATTGCATTAATAATATAGTTACTACATGTGTGTTCATTGAATAATTGTATGACACTAAAAGTTGATGGGTTTTGAGCATCCTAACACTTCCTAAGTGTACATGCAACCCTAATAACCTGGGATCTATGTTTGTCTAATAATCATGCAAAGTTGAATTCCAAGGTTATATTCCTATCTAGCATACACGGGGAACAATTTTTTAACTTGAATGAAAGATAGAATAACATACCTTGTTGTTGCTTATAATCCTTGAAACCTTGTGAGCCTAGCACCCCAAGTGTGATGCCTCAAATGCTTCACACAACACCAAATGCTTTTGGAATGACTTTAGAGAGAATACACACTTCTAAAACCGGCCTAGCCCTCTTGTTTCTTATGTGTAGCCGATTTTGGTGGAGAATATGTTCTTTATATAGTGTTGACACATCTAGGGTTACACCATGTAAACCCTAATGTGTCATTGCTTTTCATTTCCATGACCCATGGGTTTGTAACTCCCATGGAGCATCATATGAGTGGAACCCAACTTGATAATCCATGGAGCCTCTTAGCCCACTATACAAGTTAAGGATGATTTACATAATCAACCCATATATTTAATTAGTTATCTTTTGATCACTTAATTAATTCTAAATTAATTCTTGATCAAACTAATTAAATAATATTATTAATATATTAGAACTTATAATATATTAATAACCACAAATGTTATTTCTCTTATTTAGTCTATCCAATTGCATGGTGCGATGCAACCAAAATGGATCATGTCGGGTCGGGTCAAGTACATACCAGAAATAGTTATAGACTTAGACACCTTATCCAACGTTCTCCCACTTGGATAAGTCTAATAACTATAACTGTAATACTTCAGGAACCGAACGACAATCGTAGCTCTTTCAAGGTCTCTTGGAACTGAGAAGATGATGATACACCATTTAAGATAAGTGATCATATAATCCTCTGTTCGAGATATCAACAGGACAAATACATGGAACAATGTCTTAGTTATTGTTCAACACTTTGTTTCCCGATTTCCGATTTGTTTGACAAAGAACTTAATTGAACACATCAACTTAGTTATGACCGGGCCCGGTACATAGGTCAAAACAAAATCATCGAGGGGCCCAGATATCAGCTTCTAATCCAAGAAGGAACAGATAAAATTCGACTCATATGTTTGTTCTACCACTCATTGAATTATACATAAAATCATGTTTTATAACATCGAGTTACCAATGCGTTTACGTACAATCAATGCATAACCAACTCATAAGTAACAAATCATATCTCTAGGTTTGAAGACTTATATGATATTACCGTCTCACGATCACTCGAGATAAATTCCATGAAGTGATTCCAGTGAGCGTGGGTTGAGTCCGATGCTCAGACCTTATGAGCATTCATGATTGTTGTAGCCATGTCCAACACCTTCGACCTATGCAACCAATCATGACAGTCTTGATTCATATGACCGACTGTGGAGGTTCGAATAATATGATATACCAAACATAATTATTCTGGAAGTCAAAACATGCAAAAGAAATATAGTAAATGATTGACAAGAGATAGAAACACTTTACTCATAAATAAAACACTTTTTATTCATCATCTAATGTCAATTACACTTTACAAATTTCAAGGTTATCTAACTACTAAATCTAATATCATCCTTCAGCCCTATGCTCCGAGGTTGCTGGAGATGCTTAACCCGAGTCAGTCCCTTCATGAGGGGATCTGCGGGATTCTCATCCGATGATACCCTCTTTTCCACGAGGAGTCCTTCTATTCGATGTCTGATGAAATGGTATTTTCTGTCGATGTGTCTGGATCTCCCGTGATCCCTTGGTTCCTTGGCTAAGGAAACATCGCTTTCACTATCACAAAAAATTTCCATTGGCTCCTTAGTAGCTGGTACAACTCCAAGGTCTTCAATGAAGTTCTTCAGCCATATCGCCTCCTTTGCTGCCTCGCTAGCTGCTATATACTCTGATTCGCAAGTTGAATCAGCCACTGTCTCTTGCTTGGAACTCTTCCAAGAAATTGCTCCTCCGTTTAAGGTAAAGACCCAGCCTGAATGAGAGCGGAAATTATCCCTATCAGTTTGAAAGCTAGCATCACTATACCCTACAACTCTCAAGTCTTCACTCCCACTAAGGGTAAGAACCCAGTCCTTAGTCCTCTATTGGTACTTGAGGATGTTCTTTACCGCAGTCCAGTGTGCCTTGCCAGGGTTCCCCTGATACCTGCTAACCAAGCTCAAGGCAAAGGCTACATCAGGTCGAGTACACGTCATAGCATACATGATCGATCCTACAGCCGAAGCATAAGGTATTCGACTCATTTCTGCTATCTCAGCCTCAGTACTAGGGCTTTGTGTCTTACTTAATCTGGCGTTACTCTGGATGGGTAACTCTCCTTTCTTGGAGTCCTGCATGCTGAATCTCTTCAGCAGCTTATCCAAGTATGTACTCTGACTAAGTCCAATTAGTCTTTTAATGCGGTATCTCAAGATCCTTATCCCTAGAATATAGGCAGCTTCTCCTAGGTCCTTCATAGAGAAACACTTCCTA